TAAAAAACCTATTGTACATAATTTCAGATGGTCCAAAAATGACATACATAAATAAAATACCAAAAAATGTCAAAAAAATGTCATACAATCGAGATCAATACAACATCATGATGTCAAAATAAAATACAAACCATACTACTACTACTATATATTAAGATATTATTATGTCAGACAACCTCTCCTCTACCTCATTTGCCTCATCTGTCTCGTCTACCTCTTCGGCCATGAATCCCTTTGTCCTCCAGTGATGTCTCTGGTACAACAATGTCCCATGTGGCTTCGTCATGATGACATATAAGACATGCCTCACATCAGACCCATCAGGGAAGATACCTTTGTTAATCTCTATCTGCACAATCTCCATTATACGACTGTTGCGGTGGAAATAGGATATCAAACTATTAATTAGTTTGAATCACAATTCTTAATTCACAACCGCTATTTGATTTATCTGAAGGAAAAGGTCAAAAGAGGAAAAACCTATTTTTGCATCGTAAACACAATGCGGGGAGAGACCTAGGTAAGGGGTTGGTTAAGCTTATGGAAGGTACTAGCACCATAAACTTTTGTAGTACTCTACAGGAACCTTTTATTTATTGTATGCCTTTTATTTTTATTTATTATCTGCTTTAATATATATTGAGCTAAGGGATAGAGTGACCTAAAAGACCTAAGGGTTAGTCCTAAGTTTACTCGGCAAGACGTCGCATCTTGTGCCTACGTATCCTGGATAGGAAATGGAATCAGAGTAATCGTAGTTCCCCTCAAAAGGGAGGTTAGAAACGTCTTGACTGTGGTCAAGGTTTCAAGGGGAGTAAATGTATCTTAAGGACACGCTTACGTGGAGTTTTGAAACTCCTATTTTCTATGTTGAAAAGTTGAATTAAAATTAGGGTTGAAATTAGGGTTAAATTAGGGATTCCACGACGGGAAACCCTAAAACAGAGTACGGCGACTCTTTGACCTAAAAGCTAGGGTAAAGGGTATTTTCGTCCACGGTGGGACGCCTAGGCTAAATAGGGTTTGAAATAGTCAAAGGGTTAGGGTTATTGATTCGGCAGTCAAACGACTAGACCTAATTCCTTCGGAAGGAAAATAAAGGTAAAAACATGCAAAAGGCAGAATTAAAGTGCGGAAAAATAAAGAAAGCGGTAAAAGAAGCATCGCGACGATCACTCGCGTAAATTACAAATCCCAAAAAAAGAAAAATAAAATAACTGCGATCATGGCCTCGCATAAATTACATCTATGAAAAACAATACGCAAGAATAATAAATTGCGACGATGCCTCGCATAATTACAACCGAAAAAAAAATGATAATACGATAAAATGCAAAATTAGTAACCAAGGACAAAAAGGAGAAACAATGAAAGTTAGATGAAAATTAGACGGGAAAGGTTAAGAATTTTAGAAAAAATTTTAGGTGAGAAATTTAGTTTTAAGAACGAAAAATTTAGGATTAAAGAAAAATTAATTTTAATTTTTATGTTTTAAAAGGTTAGCAATTTATTAAAAACTTTAATTTATTTTAAAAAATATTTTTAATTTTGAGAGATAAAGTTCATTTAGTTAATATTTTTAAAGAAATATTCTAATCAACTTTTAAAAAAGGTTTCTAATTATCTTTAAGAAAAGGTTTTTAAAACAAAGGTTTTAATTTTAACAAAGGGTTTTGATTTTTGAAACACAAAGGCTTTTGCTTTCATCCTCAAAAAGGAAGTTTTAGTGTAAGAAAGGTTTTAATTTTGAAAAAGGTTTAATAAAAAAAAGATTTTAATAAAAAAGGTTTTAATAAAAAAGGTTTTAATAAAAAAAAGGTTTTAATTTTAACACAGGGTTTTGATTTTTGAAACACAAAGGTTTTCGCTTTCATCCTCAAAAAAGGAAATTTTAGTTTAAGAAAGGTTTTAATTTTAAAAAAGATTTTAATAAAAAAAGGTTTTAATAAAAAAAGGCTTTAATAAAAAAAGGTTTTAATTTAATCTAATTAAACTAAATTGTATCACTAGAGAAAAAAAGGAAAAGGTTTGATCCATTCTTTTACTTCCACACGCGGCGCCGCTGGCCTCCGTTGTTACCTTCTTTGAAGCTTTTGCTTCTTCTCCTCCTGCTTCGCTTTCGTTGTTCATACCTGAAACCAAATAAAACAAAACCAAACTCATTAATATCATAATCTTACGTTTTGGACTTTTGATGACCGTGTTTCAACGGCGAGGTGATGAAGCTTCTTCTGAGACTTTTTGCTTGGTTGTTGCCCGCCGGTGGTAGTGAGGCTCCAAAGGGTCCACGACCGCCGTTGGATGATCCTTGAATCAAGGAGAAAGTCTTAAAGTCGGCAATTAAGGTATGGAGAGTATTATCTTCATTGTTTTCAATATGTGATTCAATGTATTTAAAGCTAATTTAAGGGTTTGAAGTTGATTTGAGAGTAAATAAAATTAGGCCTTCATGGCCAAAATCTATTGTTGAAGTTTTAACCGTATAGGTATTTAAAGTCGATTTAAGGGTTTAACGGTTTGAAACTGATTTGAGAGTAAAGGAAATTAGGCCTTCGTGACCAAAATCTATTGTTGAGGTTCTAACCGTATAGGTATTTAAAGTTGATTTAAGTGTTTGATCCATAAGTCTATTTTGACCCTCGTTTGAAGCTTTGGAAAGCTAATGAACAGGACTATAATATAGTATAGATAAGGGAGTTGGTTTCCCAATATTTTTATATCTAATTATGTTTGAGAAGTCAATTGTGTATATGTTCTATTAATAAATCATGTTCTGGTTCAGTGATGTCTTAATGTTTTGATGCTGCGATTTTCTTAATGAATTACCACGAGGGTAACTGTGATTTCTATGTGATTAAATGAATGTATGATGAATTACTATGAGTATAATTGTGATTCCTATGTGATTAATACATGACTGTATAATGAATTCCCGTGAGTAATTGTGATGATTTATGATGTTGATTCCATAAGTTTTTGATGATGACATGATTATTATGATGACTTTGATGAATGATGATGCACCTAATGAGTTTATTATGAGGATGATATTGACGTGTGCATCATGCATTCATATGCATCCGGACTTCGGTTCAGGACCTTGATTTCTTTGGTTTCAGTCTCATTGTGCGGGTGTGAGGTATTTTGATGTGATCCGGTTTTTGTATAGAATCGATCCTATTGATAGGGGTCTATGGAGGGTTGATGACACAGTGTCCATCGAACTATGATGATTGGTACCACATGCATGAGTTTTGTTGCATTTGCATTTATGTGACAATTGGTGTAATTTATAATGTTGTAGCCTTTGATGTTCCTTGATGATTATGATGTTGAATATGAAAATGACGTCATTTTACATATTAATTCTTATTTTGATTATTATGAATCATTTTACTCACCCTGCTTGTTTGAATGTTGCCTCCACGTGGGTAACGTGCAGATGACCAGGTTTAGCCGTGGATGCCATCGAAGATTTTTTAAGTTTTTGGGGCGTTGGCTATTGTGGTTGACTTAGAGGGTCTTTCTCTGATAGTGTAACATCGGGTTGGGGTATTTGAGTCAAACTATTTTATTGAGTTTTTGTTATGTTGATTTCCTTGCGGTAAAAGGAAAACTTTGGATTTTTGCCTTTTTGAGTTTCGCTGCCATTTGAGCACTTTTGAGTAATTTTGAGAAAAACCCGTTGCTTAAGGAGCATTGACCTTTGTTTGAATTTATTGAGAAATGTACGCCCTTTGATGTGATTTTTATGGTGTTTAAAATTTCACTCTAATAAATGTGAATATTTTTGCCATAATAATTGTGGGGTAGAAAAGGGTGTTACACCCCGCCCCTGTATTGTTTTACTGTTTTTTGTTAAACGTTTTTGTGGTTGTGGTGAGATGATGGGCCCTTGGCCCATATGATTCTCACCCTTGTTTCAGCCCCTCTTATCCAATGCATCTTTATTGGAGGGTTGATTCTTGAAAAATAAACATGTCCATATTTTTTATTACTCACGTTAGAACAATTGAAGAAAATGAGAAGGGGTGTGAAAAAAATGGTAGAAGACACACTTCTATTTATACTAAATGATACCTAGTGACACTTAGGTGCCAAATGAGTTGGCGCCTCCTCTTAACACCCAATATATAGGCGCACGATGAATCAACATCTCCTCCTAATACTTATACATATGCGTTAATTTGATTGACTTTGCCTAAATGGGGCGCCATTTCAATTGACTTTACATTTAATTTCTCCAATGCACACATCAATCTAATTTAGGGATGACAAACAAACCCGGATCCGCTCGCACCCGCCCGGGCCCGCCCCAAAATTAACGGGAAAAACCCGACTTAATTGGGTGCTGGTGCGGAGGAAACTCGATTCTTAACTACATATGCGGGTGCGGGTAGACATTAAGATCCGCCCACACTCGTCCCCAGATAATGTATTTTACTTTAATTCTCTTATTTTACTTATTTTAATATTCATTTATATTTTTAATTAAACTATTAATGTCCTTATTGTAATTAAAATAATCAAAGTAATTAAGTTAATATTCATTTACTAATTAAAATCTTAATTAATTAATTTATTAAAATAATCAATTTTTAATTAAATTATTGATTTTTATTGCAATTAAAAAGAAATTAATTTTTACGGGTGGAGGCGGGTGGACCCATTCACTAGGGACGAGTCTGGTTGATAAATTTTTACTCCTGATTAAACTTGAAATGGAGGCGGATGTGTTATATGAAGACGGATACGAGTACGGGTATAGTTAAACCCGTCCCGTTATCGTTCCTAATTTAATTTATTTATTTGTGCTTTGCGTTGTAATTGTTTTATTTATTTAAAACATTAATAGTTTGAAAATTAATCGAAAAACATGATTATTTAAAAAAATTTGTTAAAAAATATGGTTATTTTGAAAGAAAGAAAAATTATTTTAGGTTTCCTTACGAAAAAGAAGAAAGTATTTTGCATCTGTAAGAAGTGAGAGGTGAAGAGAGATGGAAGGTGGAGATATGGATTCACTGTTTGAAGGGATGGTGTTGTTCAACCCTACCCAAATTGAAGACAAGAATCACGGCGATCATTCTGAAGCAACAGTATCATCGACTTCCCAACAACCCCTTGACGATCATTCTGAAGCAACAGTATCATCGACTTCCCAACAACCCCTTGACGAAGATATCTTCTCTGACCTCACCCTCGTTGTCGATCCCCCCGACACTGATCTTCAATCTCAATCTTCCCACCACCACCACCACCCTTCTTTCTCCAGAAGGAGAAAACGATCTGGCTTGAGAATAGGTTACGGCAGAGACACCGTCGATGTCGATGTCGATCCTTCTCCGCCTCTTCATATTTCTACTTTCCCTGCCTCGCCCCTTGATTCCATGTTTGTAGCTGATGTTACTACTTCTGATGCTGCCAATACCCTACCATCTAGTGCTACTGATGTTGATGCTGCCAATACCCTACCATCTAGTGCTACTGATGTTGACGCTGATAGTGTCAGTGTCAATACCCAACCATCTGGTGCTACTGATGTTGATGCTGTTAGTGTTAATACCCAACCATCTGGTGCTACTGTTAGTGTTAGTGTTAATACCCAGCCATCTAGTGCTACTCAATCCACCACCCAAGTTGAAACTTTTTCCGAGGAAGGGTTCAGGCAAATTAAGGACACAATACATGACAAGCTTAATCATGCTCGTCAACTCGTCACTTCTGCATCTTCTGCCCGAAAGGATGCTATCAGGAGTAGAAGAAAGGCCCTAGAGAATGCAAATCTTGCTTCCCTCAAATACATAGAACTTGAAAATCAATTGGAACAAGCCTGTGAAGCTGAAGATTTTGAAACAGCAGAAAAGGTTAGCGAATACCTTTCTGCTGCTGAGAAGGAGAAACAAATCTTTGCAACTTCATTGAAACAAGCCGATGCCTTTCTCGGTGCTTTAGATTTGAAATTGCAGCATGCCCTTCAAACTCACATAGCTGCCGAGGAAGAATGTGCAATCTTACTCCACCATTATGCAACTGTTAGTTACTTTTTACATTCATATCTAAGTCTATTCTAGCCTTGAGTTTGATGGTTTCAACTATAGTTATTTTGCATCTATTTGCTGACATATTTATTAAGGCTCCTCATTCAAATTATATTTCCTTTTCTAGAATGCTGTAAATGATGCAGATTTTGCGATGAAGAAAGCAACATTGCTGCATTCAAAAGAAATGGAACAATGGCTTTCATCGTCAGAAGCCTTGGAGGTTAAAAGGATGGAGTTGGAAATTGAATCACATTTTATAAGTGAAGCTCATACAGAACTTAATAATAACATTGAGCATTCAATCGAGGATGATAAAAAAGAAAAAGAGATCCTTTGTCAACGAAAGAGCATGCTGATGGGCGAATTGGAGAAACTTCTTGCTTTAGTAAAACAGAAAGAAAAAGAGATAGCTGACAATGATTCTGATTTAAAAGCAGTAGAGCATAAGATAAATAATGTTGTCTCTGGATTTAAAGAGATTCAGTCAACCATTGACGTGAAGAATGATAAATTGCAATCTGAACTTGCTCAAGTGAAATTAGAGACTGAAACTTTGTCACTGAAGAAAGACGAAATTGATAACTTTCTGGTTAGGGAAGAAGGAATGGGAGCAAAACTTAGGGAATTTGCTAGGGTTTCTGAGGAGGAAGCTAAAGGATACACGAAAATAGTCAAATTAAGAAGAAGTTTGATGTCATATATATTGAAGTCTGGGGAGGATAAACTGAGACTTACAAACAACGAGGAAAAGCTTTCTGGAGACGTGAAATTGTTTCAACAGGAGGTTTCTGCTGCCAGAGCTTCCTTGCAGGTTAATCCTTGTACTTATTTTTGTGTTTGGCTTCCTTGCAGGTTAACTTTTACACTTATTTTTATGTGTTTTGAATTGTACAATTGGCTAAAATGTGATGAATTGTCACAAAAGACTCTACCTTTAATTTGATGTTATATCCAAGCTAAGTTAGGTGAATATAGGTTGTTGATAGAAATATAGAATGCATCACATACGATCAAATGCAAGTAGCTTATTTTTTTGTTTTTATCTTAAACAAGCCAATGTCTTTTGATGTTTCTTTTTTCTCTGAAAATAGTCTTTTGCCCATTATCTCTAGATATAATGGAACTGTTTAAAAACTCAGAACACATGTCGAAGAGTGAGAAATTTTTTTTACCGCCCATGGCTTACTATATATAAAACATTGTAATTTATTATATAAATAAAACAATGACCGAAAAGTGGTCACGTGTCAAACACTTTTTCATTTCTTCATTGGGGTTGTGATTCCTTTCAGACATGTGCTTAAGCACGGGTAAACACGACTATGTAGACAATCAAATTTAATTGTTCCTGTTTTTATGCAAAAATACAGGCTGATTCTAGTTTGTTGATAAATGTCATTATATCATTTTTAGGAACTATCTTCAAAAAAGTCGAGCATCCAGCAAGATATAGCATCCTTGAAGCAGAGGATTATCTTCATAGATAAGAGAGTCCCAGAACTTGAAGCAGAAAAGAAAGTTGCTACTGCTGCAAGAAATTTCAAGGAAGCTGCCCGAATAGCTAGTGAGGCTAAATCACTGTGTGTTGAAAAAGAGAATATCCAGATGGAAATGGATACGGCCACTTCAAATTTGGAAAAGCTTGAGGATGAAATTAAAGGCACCTTTGATAAATTGCAGGAGACTGAGGGAATGATCTTATTGAAGGAGAAAGAGTTAGCAATGGCTAAATATCAAATGCTACTTTTGACAGCTGCTACTGCTAGAGCTGAAAAAAAGGCTGCCCAAGAAATGGGTGATGCAGAAGAAGCTAATCTCCTTCTTGCAGAAGCTGAGGCAGCTGACTGTGAAGCCGAGAGAATTCGATCAACATACAATTTCAAAGTGGAAGACGTTTCAAATTTACCAAAAGATTTGATTTCAATGGACCTTGTATCAATTATTGATCAAAAACAATTGGAAAAATTAGCTATCACTTCATCTGTTTAGCTGATTATTTAAACAAGATTTTTGTTGATTTACTGTAAATGTCTGTTCTTAGAAGTTACTGAAGTGCAACATAAATGTCCAACTTTTGAGACATGTATAATGCATGAATACATTTTAAAGAATACAGAGCTCTAAGCAGTTGTAATTGAGGAAAAGATTAGAGGCAATGAAGGAATAAGTGGAAGAAGATTGATATTTTCTTATTCAATCCCAACGTACAGATACCCATTGAGATCCAATGAAATAATAGAGGAAACAATTGAAAAATTTAAAACAGAATAAAGAATAATTAAAATCTGTGAACGTGGCAGCAATCCTAAACACGGTAGGTAACACTGCTCCTTAGATTGCTAATGGCAAACACTAGGGATGGAAATTGGTTCGAGTTCGGGTTCTCTAAATCTCAGACTGGTTCATTTACAGTTTTATTTGTGCTCGGTTTAATTTGGATTTGGCTAGTAAAATCGGTTTTTTTTGGATAGTATGACAACCGAAGAATTAAGTCCAATTTTAAAATCATTTAGATTTTTTGAGAATTAAGTCCAACTCATGATTATAACTACTTATACACTTAAGCATAAGACTTTTACAGCTCAGATCTACCGTCTAAGACTCCTTATCAAGATTTCTCTGCTTAGATCCTCAGATTCTAAGACTTCCCTTGCTTAAATCTATCTGGTTCAAGACTTCCTTGCTTAAACACTATGCCTAAAATTTTTATGGTCATACCTCTGTTAAAGACTTCACTTGCTTAAACCCACCTGGTTCAAGACTTATGCTCAGACGCACTATTCAAGGTTTCTTTGCTTAATTAACACAAATCAAGACTTTCAATGCTCAAGCACGTAGCAAGAGATTTACTTGACTCAAACTTTTCAACTGGAGACTTTGATGCTCAAGCACATAATAAGAGACTTTGATTTAAACTATTGGACAACATGTACAATAGAATAGTAAACAAGGTGTACTTGATACAAAATCAGAGGTATATGATAATCACCTTAACAAAGACCTTAAGCACTTAAGATTTCCAGGATATTCAATGTTTAGGAAACCTTAAGGTTGTTTACAATTTACAACAAATAACAGGATATTTTGCATGTTCAGTAGTGTTGTTCATTGTTGATCTTGTTACTTCACTCAGATAGAGGTTCTGAACACCTCTATCTTCTTTGACATTTCTTCTTCTTCTTATTCCTTCTTAAAGATTCAGAATAAACCTTCAGTTACCTATATAACATGTCAACTCTTCTTAAGCCTTGTGAACTTAGACTCTAGATGACTAGTTGATTTGACATTATGATCGGTGGATTTCACTTGTGTTTTCAAACGGTGTTTGTTGTTAACTTTGTACCATTTTTATCTATTTTCGAAACTTTAGTTTTTGTTATCTGAGTTACTCGTAGTTGTTTTTATTCAAGTCTTATTTTGAAGTTTGTATTACTTTTGCCGCTGGTGCGTTTGATTCGGTTTCTTTTAGTGTGTTTTTGGCAGGAATTGATAGCATGACAGTCGCACCGTTTTCGGAGGCAAAGAAAAGTCGAAAAATGGAATTCAGAGGCACAACACGGGTACCCGTGTTGCACAAAACGGCCCGTGTCAGGGAGGACACAGTTGGAAGACACGGGCAAGAGAAGTAGAGGAAAATGGAGAACAGAAGTACAACACGGGTGCCCGTGTCACACAACACGACCCGTGTTGCAGCCCCTGTAGAAGAAAATGCGCCCTGTGGATTCAGCAGTCTGACACGGCCACCCGTGTTGCACAACGCGGCCCGTGTCATGGCCACTGATAGTGAAATTGTTGTTTTTCTGATTTTTATGCTGTCAGACCTATTTCGAAGGGCATTTGAGACATTTCGCGATGTAATTTGAATTTAGATATAAGAGCCACTTTTTAGAAAGGAGCAGACACTTTTGAATTGAGATTAGGATTGACAACTGAGGAGAGAGTTTTTCTGGATAACGAAGGATCTATCAAAAGCGGAAGCAATTGATGATCCAAGTGACCCAACTTGAATTGTAATGATCTTCTCCTTTTCATTTCTAATTGCACTTATGTTTACGAAGAACATGAGCAGCTAAACCCCCAGTTGTTAGGGGGTGGTCCTAAGTTGCGATGTAATGACATTTGTTTGATTATTCCATGAGAATTATGTTATTCACCTTATATATATTTTATTTTGCAACAATCTTAATGTGTATTCATATTGGAAAGTAGAATTCGATTTATGATTAGGTTTTGGTCTGGAAAGTCAACCTAACACTTTTGCAAAATAATATCACGGTAGATATTGCTTAGGAATGAGGATATCCCGTATCACGTATTTTATTGTCAGAACTATTGCTTGATGTTTTTCATGGACACTGAGGAATTAGTGTACATGAAACTCATCAAAGGGTTTTATTAAGGAATTAAGGAAAACTAAATTTGAGAACTGATGAATTAAGGTTAATAACTATTATCTCAGGATAATCCTACATGGTCTTCACTCGCATCGTGTCCACTCCCCTAACACTGTTCTTAGATTGATCTATAAGTCTTTATTTACTTGTTGTGTTACTCTGCTACCAAACAACCTCCTAGACTTTTTGTTCCTTTGAATACTAAAAATCCTGTTAATTACTACGCAGTCCTCGAGATCGATACTTGGGACTCTTCCCTTATTACTACAATCGGTAAAAACAGTACACTTGCTATTTTCCCGATCAAGTTTTTGGCGCCGTTGCCGGGGACTGCCAAATTAACATTGTTTTTAGAATCCAAAAGAAATTTTGTTGCTCTGCGACTAAAATTTTATTATTCGCTGCATTTTCTCTCGGCTTGTATTATCTAACGTTTGTCTAATTGTGTATGCGAGGTCAGACCTCAGCTAAATATTCTTTTGATACAGAACCAGAACAAGCATTACACGAAAGATGGAGAAAAGCTAAAGTTAAAAAACTGGAAGAAATAAAGGAAATTATATTTGTGCAGAGCGACTCCGAAGAGAGAGAGACAACACCTGAAACTGTTCAAATGGCTGGAAATCCACCTCAGCCCGAAAGACTGCTAGGAGACTATGGAGGGGCCAATGCTCAACCAAACCGGATGACCATTGTGAATCAACCGGTGAATGTTGCACATTTTCAGCTACACCCTTCCACCATCCGTCAGTTGGAGAGTAAGTCGTTCGCTGGAAGAATCAACGAAGATGTAAACAAGCATCTTCAGAGATTCCTTACGACCACCACCTCTTTGAAGATAGAAGGACATTCTGAAGAGGCCAAGAGATTGGTTATGTTCCCGTTCACATTCACTGATGAAGCGGAAGAATGGTTTTACTCACTTCCAGCTGGGAGTATCACAACATGGCAAGAGATGGAAACTGCGTTCCTGAATGAGTATTTCCCTGCTTCAGTTTTTATCCGAAAAAGATATGACATTGTCAACTTCAAGCAAAAAGAAGGAGAATCGTTAGGGAATGCATATAAGCGGTTTAAGAGGTGTCTGACAGCATGTCCTACTCATAACATGGACGCCACTGAGCAGATGCAAAACTTTGTGAATGGATTATGACTCAAAACGAAACAGCTCATAGACACTGCTGCCGGTGGCTCAACCAACTTCTCAACAGCCACGGGTATCAAAAGGATCATAGAAGCAATTGCCGCTAACGAGCACCTTGAGTTGTATGATCGCACTGTAAACTAACCGGAAGGTAAGATTGATTTGAAGCTGGCAGACCAGGTTGTTAAGATGGAGGATCAGATTACCGCCGAGGTAGATAGAAGGTTAAAGAAAATGAATATTGGAACTCAGACAGTGGCACAAGTTGAACCAGTTCAAGCATCACCTTGTGAAATATGTGGTGGACCACATTTTACCGTGCATTGTGTGGCAACTCAAGAGCAGGTGGAACAAATTAATATGTTGAGGCAGAACAATCCGTATGCCAACACATATAATCCTGGTTGGAAGAATCACCCCAATTTTTCATGGAAAGATCAACAAGGAAATGTACAAAAACTGGTTCAGGGCCAACAACCGTATCAACCTCAGCAGCAACAATACCAGTAGCCACTGTACCAACCTCAATATTAACAACAAGATCCTAGAAAAGCTGATTGGGAAGTAGCCATTGAAAAAATGGCCGCCCAAAGTTCTCAATTTCAAGAAGAGACAAGGAGCAACTTCAAGAATGCTGGAGCATCCATTAAAAATCTTGAAGTACAAATGAGTCAAATTGCTCAACAGCTAGCGAGTTCGCAAGCGCCTGGTACACTTCCAAGTGCTACAGTACCAAATCCGAAGGATCACCACCAAATTAAGGCGGTAGTAACAAGAAGTGGAAAATCCAAGGAAGTAGAAGAAGAGGAAACGAAACTAAATGATCAGATGATTGAAGTTGAGTTGGAGATAAAAGAAAATGAAGTGGTTGAGGAAGAAGTGGTGACACCGGTACTAGTAACTAAAGAAAAAGTGGTAGAACCGAAACCGGTGATCAAACTGCCATACCCCTCAAGAAATAAAAAGAAATTCCTTGAACTGTTTAAAAAGTTAGAGCTGAACATTCCGTTGTTGGAGGCACTAGAACAAATGCCCACCTATGCCAAATTCATGAAGGACATCATTGCTAAAAAACGGACTAGTGAGTCTGAACCTGTTATTCTAATTGAAACTTGTAGTGCTATTTTGTAGGGTCTGAAGATTCCGGTGAAGAAGAAAGACAGTGGAGTTGTTACTATTCCATGCACTATTGGTGATAGGTCATTCAACAGAGCTTTAATCGATTTGGGAGCAAGTATTAGCCTCGTGCCCTTATCCATTTACAAAAAATTGGGTATTGGTGCGGTTCAAGACACTCTGATGACTCTCTAATTTGCCGATCATTCGGTTAAGCGGCCGTATGGATGGTTCAAGATGTTCTGGTTAAGGTAGATAAATTTGTGTTTCCGGTTGATTTTGTGATACTAGAGATGCCGGAAGACGAAGAAATTCCGTTAATTTTGGGCCGGCCA